AAATGCTTTTACTAATTTGAGAGAGAATAAATATTAATATGCACATTTAAATGTACATGTGGTACTATGCTATATATTTTATATACTAAAAAGTAATTTCCTTATATTCTCATGCCTCAACATGTTTTCTGCTGACCAACCACACTGACCTGGAAAGTTCTTGATAAAAATAGACTCTCGGGCCAATCCAGCCCTTAACATGTGTGAAAGTTTATAGAGTTCAAGCAATGCGAACTGTTGGTTCCTTGGGCAGCAGAGGTAAAGATAGGGTATATGACAGAGTCCTCTTGGAATCAACAGCAATGGAAAGGGAGGAAGAAAGATGGGCAGAGAAGCAGGGCCGTAATGAAGTCCTGAAGCTGCAGGACCTCAGCCAACCCTTGGATAAACCCTGGCAGGACAGCCCTGTCCAGGTCCTGAGCAGGGGCCGCGGGCTGCGCCTTCCCCTCCTCGCATGGACGGCCCATTGGGTGGAAGTCCCCCCAAAGGGGCTAGGACCCTGGAGGGTCTCTTTACAAAGGGAATCCCTAGAGAGGGTGGGCAGCTGCAAAGTTTATTTCTAGAATCAAGGAATAGCACATATTCTGCTTCTGGAGGAGGTCACACGACAGCCTCTACAGCAAGTAACGTTCCTGTTCCCAGCTTGCCCTGTTAGGAAGGGGGAGAAGCAAAATGGAGCTCACTTTTCTCAGGGTACAGAGCTCAAGCCCATGTGACTATACAGGCAGCCTCCACGCCCCCGCTTAACTGAGCCCAGAGCTCTAGCTCTGCTACTCCACAGTGCAGGACAACAGCCTAGGAGGAGAGGAGGTGCTAGGTGAGGAGCGAACAGTGCTTGGAGAGTTGGCCCTGTGGGGTGGGTTTCTCCTGCTACTCAGCAATATGTCACTTGGAACAAACTGTCACTTTACTAGGAGTTTTCCATCCCAAGGAACTATTATGTCACCTCAGCCTATTGTTCACTTTTGTTAAGAAATGAAAGAATGTTATATGTTGTTGATAGGTATATGTATTTCTTTTTTGTTGTTCTTTTATCACAAGAAAACCTCTTTCATCCCTGGAGTTTCTTTGATTGCTTCCTCACTATCTCTGGCACAGCTCAACACCTTGGATTTCCTAACTTTCAGTTTTGGAATATTCTTTTTGGAAGCTAAATAACACTCCAGTGTCTATTTTTTAATCTCTCTCAACTTTCTCTTGCACACACTTTACAAGGGCGTCAACAGCCTGAGGTCCAGGCCTCTAAGGCTGAGTGTCTCAGGGTCCTGGAGGCTGCTGGAGGCTGCTCTGAGACCCTCAGGGTGTAGGTGACTCCATGAGCAGAGGACAGCAATGAAAAGAATGAAAATCACAAGTTGAGGGTGACACTGGAGTTTGTTTAAAAAACAATATAAATACAATGCATTGTTTAGTTGCATTTTATTTGTTACCCTTAGCTAATGAGACAGAGCTACACAGAAGATGAAATATTTGACTGTTTCCTATTTGACCTGATTTATGAAAAATAGAGTAGAAAATAATAGCCCTGGCTTCCCAAAGTATATTAACTTAATGTATTATGATAGGCGAACTAAGAAAAAAGTGATCTTGCTTTTTTTTTTGGTCTTATGATACTAAATATTTAACATTAATTATTATGGGACACGGACAGACCTGGACCGAAGCCCACATTATGCTTTTCTAACTTGACCGTTGCCCAGTAATTTAAAAACAACTATTTTCCCATACTAAAATTCAGAAAGCTGTGGATATTTATGGCAGAGAGGTGTGAGGTATTTTCACACAGGTTATAGCAAATGTTATATCCGAGTGCATTAAAAAATAAAGTAAGGAATCTACTTAAAGCTAGAAGAATATGTGAAAAAAAAATTCGGGCTAATAAGCTTATGAGGGGCTTGGTGGAGTGAGCTGTTCCCCGCGGCTGGATTTTGAGAACAGAAGCTCTGTGGAGAGTACAACGGGCCTTCTCATCATACCTCGTAAATTCTAAGGCATCATGCAGATGCCAAGAACCACCACTGTGACTCAACCCCACAGACTCTCTGTTTTAGTCTATACATTAAACACCTACGGCAAAACGGATCAATTAGGCACGGCAAGGGATGAACAGCAAGTCAATAATAAAATAGAACAATCATAATAAAATACTGTAACAAGTTATTTAAAACTTGTAAATTACATATTTCGGGAATCTTCTGCGTGGCATTGCTGTACTGCAGTGGGCTACGGGTGAGTGAACCTGGACAGCAGGACTTTAATAGGGGGGCTGCCATACCTCAAATACGGCACGAACTGAACTACATGCAGGGGAATCCAGATCTTCCCTACTGCCGTGTGTCACGCCGCAAACAAATACCTTCAAAGTCACTGAATGCATTGTCTTTCTGACTCTGACACTGATGTAGTGTCTGATTCATAGAGCTCTATTAGTAAACACATTTTGGACAATCAATAAATTAAAGACGTGCAACTTTTCTGTGTCATATCTGTGGTAACAGAAGAGAAGAAAGTACTGTTTCCCCTAATCTTCTCAGTTATTCTTCTTTCTGTGGTCTCACACTTGTTCCAAGAGGGAATAATCCTCTTGTACCGGTTGCCGTTGAAACCATTTGAAGAAATATTTCACGTCAACTCAAAAGAAGAGCAACACTGGCTTTGCGAAGACATCCACACCCCTGGGTTGGTGGAAGAACACGATCACACATCCACCTGCTTGACTTCTCTGTGGAGTGGGAGCCTTGTATTTGACTGGGTGTGTGTGTGTGTGTTTGTTTTACAGTACTGGGGATTGAACTCAGGACCTCTGCATGGAACTATACTCCTATCTCTTTTTTTAATTTGAGATGGGAAGGACTCAACCTTGAAGTCTTCCTGCCTCAGTCTCTGAAGTGCTGGGGTTACAGGTGTGCACCATCACCTTTGTCTTATAGCTTTTATTTATAATGCTTTATAATCCTTACTATTTCCAAATATTTAAGTAGGTTTTGTTGGACACTGCTTAACCTGAGAAAGAGATCTTCATTTTGAGGAAGAATTCTAACAGTGTGAACAGTAACTATTGTGCAGTTGTCTAAAAGAATGTCTGATTTTGTAAAATAAGATTTGCTACTATATATTGGATTTCTTTTGAAAATATAATTTTTCAACATTTACCAAATAAAGGTATACAACATGTATGAAATATTTTTCTTATTCTCACATGCATATATTTGTCATCTTTTTTCATGCTCATTAACACGCTACAAAAGATATTTAAACATTCTAAGACAAATGAGTGAAAACTGTTGGGTGACCAAACACACCTAACAAATGTCACTTTACTTTGAAATGCAAACAATGAGACATAAGATTTCAGACTGGTCATTATCCAGAGCGGTTCGTAACAAAAATGTGAGAGACGAGCATCCAAAACCTACATACCCCAGGCAGCACTTGCAATGCATTGCTATCCATCCACAACTCCCTTAAATTTTGTATTTGATCCAGAACTTCGGGCTGAGTGAGACAGAAAGGAGAGAAGAAAAGAAAATTGCATTAGCCTTTTCTTACCACAAATTCTAGGTATCACTTCTTGGATCTTGAGCTTGTATTTGGGAATCCAGTGTTAGTACTCTTGGAAATGACAAAGCTAACAGAACTCCAACAAAACTGGCCATCCCTGAGATGTCCAATCTAGGATTATTTGGAATCAATCAGAACAGTAATAATTCAAATTAAGATCCATTATCCAGATACCTTCATCTATTCCCTTAATGCTTTTCAACTATGCTTTGTACCATTAATTATACTCTAATTACTTGGTAAGTTTCTTCCTCACGAAGAAGCAGAAGACAGCCAGGGAAGTGTCCTGTAATCACAACGCCCTCCAGTCCTACAGGGCATAGGAGGACGGAGTGGCTCCGAGAAGAGCAGAGAGGGAAGAGACGGGTAACACACGTGTGTGATGAGACTCTCATTCCCTAAGTGGAGGCTGGAAGCTGTCTCCAAATCCTTCCTCCTGGGCATCGGACTATGCAGATCTCGCTGCATTACCACTGCCCCTAGCACCATTTCCCTCCTCATAGTGACCTCTCCTGAATTTCTCTCCAGACACTGACCCCTTCCTCATTCTATGTGCTGCTTTTAAGTACAGTCCTCTTTGCAACTCTGTAGAAGTGGCTGAGGTCTAAACTAGTGACTGTATTGTATTTGCCTGGTCACAGGAGTCAGCTCCCAGACAGAATTATGACCCATTCGGAACATGTACAAAGCAAAGTGAATCTGACGAGGACTTGAGGGAAAGACTTGCTCTTTCCTGCTGGGCTCAAAGCTGAAAGCAATGCATCTGAGGGAACCTCAGGGGTGAGGCCAGGGTAGAGCCTGTCTGAGAAAAAGAAACCAGAGCTAAAAGGTGGATCTTCCTGACACCATATTGTCCTGGAACAAAGTCATACCTGAGATCAGATTTTCTGTTCTGTTTTCTGAAAGAATTATGACTTAATGAACTAATACAATACAAACACAGTTCGGTGGAATTTGGAACCTAATGAGAAAAGCCACTGCATTTTATAAAACACTCATAGAAAGGAACAGAACTGTACCAAAGTCACACCGAGAATATTGCGAACTGTAGGTCAGTGGAGTTGCACGCACGCCCTTGATGCACTAAGAGGCCTCAGAAGTGTGTTTTGCAGAAAGTTTCTGACTCCTTTAGCTTGGGATTGCAATGGAGCATAGCAGAATTCCCAGGAGAAATTCCCTTTGCAACCAGGATTAAACTCAAAAGTTAGAGATGTGGCATTCTGCTGTGGAATCAGACAGAGGTGAGCAAGTACAGGGGACTTTCTGGGTAGGAAATATCCCCAGTGCCACTTACAAGGATCAGAGAATGAACTACTCCATTTATATGATAGGCTGGGCAAAGAGGGGAGGTGCAAGTTACGTTTAGGAAGCGCAGTGTGCTATACGCAGGCTCCGTGGCAGGGGCCGGCTAGCCATAGGCAGGCTGGTTGCACACTACCCGTTATGTGGTGCAGTTTTCCCCAGGCCTGGGTGTGCTGCAGATTTCGGGGGAAGAGAAAGAGTTGCATGCTGGGTAAAGGGTAACCAAACCTTACGTGTACATGTCAGGACGGAGACTGATGTATAAGCTTGAAATAATAAGCACTGTGCAGGGAAAATCAGGTTATGCGGTGGAAACATAAATCCTGAGATTTCCAGCGGTTAACATGACAGGCTTACCTCCCACTCCCACGGCACCTCTACCATGGTTTCTTCCGTACAGCCTTGTGGGACCATCTTATCTAGACGCCCAGCCGAGCCAGGGCAGGGGAAGAGCGGATGTGGAGAACTCACTGCTACTCACAGAGATGCTGTGCTGGGGGTGACACCTAAGTGCAAGGGATGCTGGAAAATGAGGGGGTTCCCGGAATGTTTGATAAATGCTAACTGCCTCTGCGTGCAGTGCCACTGTCTAAAGGAATGATCAGAATGAGTAAGTGCACATTTATACTTTATTCATGTCTTCATTAAGCACACACTTATTAAACATCCAAGTGGTGGGCATTACTGGGATCATAATGCTTAGGGCGGTCTCCGTCCTTAAGATACCCATGCTCTATTTCTGGAGAAAACACACAAAGAGTAAATACAATATATTACGGGACTATAAGGAAGGGGACCTGTCTGCCTTCGTTGTGAGGGGAAGCCATGGGATTGAGATGAAGACGGGATGACCTTTAGAGAGGGGATTTAGCCAGGAGAGGGCTGGGGGCAACAGCGTCATGTGTGAATGAGGAGAGGAGCACAGGGGTCTACAAAACCGTGTGTGTGCGTGTGTGTGTGTGTGTGTGTGTGTGTTAAGGAAATAGGATCTTGTTGTGTGGATGAAGGACCTTCAGTAAGAGATATTTAATAGGAAGCGATTTTGACAGATAGGTGATCTAGAACTCTAAATTGACAGAAAAAGAAAACAAGAACAGGAAAACTTATTAGGGTTAGTAATGGAGCAGCGATGAGGAAAAAAGAGAAAGTGAATTCAGGTAATATGTAGAACAGAAAAGTGGGTTTGGTACCGGAAATGGAGGTGAGGGGTGAGACATACACGTCTCCCGGTTCTTCCCTAAAATGGTTCTGCCAGTGGAGAGGCAGAATATCCGGGTGATAGCAGGTACACAGTTCAGTTCTGATCACGACTGGCTCCAGGCACCTGTGGACAGAGGTGAAGATGTCCAGGAATGAGCTGGCTGTGGAAATACCAAGTGCAGGGAGCAGCGGCGGGACGTGGGCATTCGGTGCGAGTAGAAGCCCAGGTAGATGATCTACCCGTGGGGAAGGGGGAAGGAAGGAGAAGTGCTGCTGACAGAGGACAACACCTGGAGGAACACGAGCCCTCGAAGGCTGGAAACAAGAAGAGCAGCCAATGGGAGAAGTGAAGAAGAAATAGAGCCCAGAGTCCTAGGGGTCTCTGGAGCTCAGAGAGCAGAGCTATGTTAGGGACAAGGAAGCGAACAAGAGCCTCACACACAAGGCCGGTGTCCTGCAAAATAAAAGCCTGAAGAGACCCACTTTGGAAACCATGGGTCACTGCAACCTTGGTGATAGCCATTTGAGACTGGACTGAGGATGTAGGAGAGAAAAAATAAGTGGGGACAGGAGGGGATACTGTTGGTAGAATACAGTATTCTTTGCAAAGTTGAGAAGAGAGGAGAAAAGTTGAGGGGCTGCAAAGAAACTAAGAGGTCAAGGGAAAAAGCTAGGAAAGCACTAAGAGGGGGCGGGAGAGGAAGATAGGGAGGGAGAGGATATGAATTCCAAAGGGGGACAGAGATTTGAGATTCAGAGCACAAGAGAAGGGGCTGATGAGTGAAGTGAGACAACTCATTTGCTGATATCTGAGGGGAGTGAGGATGGTAGGACACAGCTGCGCATGGTGTAGGGAGGGCTAAAAGTCTACAGAAAGCACATCTGAAGTCCTCAAAATTCTTGGTGCGGATGGAACCAGGTAAATTGTTGAGTAAGAGGGATAAGAATTTTGTGTAACAGCGCATACTGGAATAGTCTGAGAGGAAACAAAGGCCATCAACGCTTCTATCCATGAAATTGCTACAGTTCTTTTCCTGAGCCTGGAAGGGAATCGACAAACTAGAAGAAAATGTGATCAGTGTGTATATAAACATGTACTAATAAAAACCAAGAAATAATAATAAAAGACAACGGAAGAAACAAAGACCAAAGTTTCATTAGGCCAGAGAGGACTATAGTAGGGGTGGGAGACACAAAATTCAAAAGGCGAGAAACAGAATGCAAGATCAGAACGGAGGGGTTGAAGATTACTGTGAAGTAGTTCTACCAAAGATATTTTCAAAGACCTGGTAAGAGCTGGCTCAAGTGTGAAGCAGGAAGCCTCTCGGTGCATGGGGAGGATTTTCCTGCATTGTGAGGCCCCCTCGGCTTCTGAGGAGGAGCAGCAGTTTTCACATTCCACAGAACCTCCAGTCTTGGCTGGGTTAGGCCAAGTGACAGAGAAAGCTGGCCAATCAGACCCCTGAAATTTCTAACCTTGGGTTCTACCTGGAATGCAACGCATCTACGGCTACTTGGAAAAAAAGATAACTAAGGCGACCTACATTTCTGCTTTATTGCCAAAGATCTCATTCCATATATTTAATAACACAACACGGGATCAACATCCCAGTTTACAGATGAGGAATCTGATCACCATTTCCTAGGGAAAATGAGCACAGCTTTATGAGAGGCACAGAACCGCAGCTGGAATTTTCTCTCAGGTCTCCCGGCTCTCGGGATGACATCAAGTTAGAGCCTGAAATGAAAATTCCAAAAGAACAAAGAGAGCTGGGATCACAAAGGCCCAACAAGCAGAATGGAGCACAAGCTGGGTTTCTAAATAAAGGATATTTTTAGTACTAGATGTTGCAATAAAATGAACTGCAGAGATAAAACATAGCAGATCAATGCAGTCGTGCTGAAAAGAAAAAAAAAAAAAAAGCAAAACAAAAAAAAAACCTCATGAGTATGAGACAAGAGCATTTCATTTCCAATACAGAAATTTAAAGTGGATCTTGGAATTAAACCAGATGGCTTAGATCCAACCTATCATAAATTACCTTTTTCGTGCTCTTTAATTTCACCAAAAAGTCAATTGTTTCCATTAAAAATAAGTGAATTAAGAATGACTGGGTGAATTCCATTCTGATGCAGGGGCTATGAAATAAAAAGTCTCATAAACTTGTTTGGGGATTATAAATTGTTGTAGTCTTTTGGAAATTATTTTAATATATGCACCTCATGCCTGCAGAACTTTCACATTTACTTTTAGGCAACTATTCTTCCCAAAGAATGTGAAATATAGAAAACCTTATTAGAGAAAAATGTTAACTGCAGAATGATGACTAAAAATTGGTCGTGACCTTAATAAGCCTACACTACAAAAGAATAACCAAATTATGATAAAGTAATGCACTGGAATGGCTACAGCACCAAAAATGGAATATCTG